AGTTATTCAGGTAGTGTCCTAAGTCCAAACATCTTCAGCTGCTTCATCAATGTTCTTCCTTCTATCATAATGGTCAGAAGTGAGGATATTTGTAGATGATTATTCAATGTTCTATGCCATTTGTGAATCATCAGATACTGAAGCAGTTTAGGTTCATATGCAACAAGACCTGGATAACATCCAGGTTGGGCTGTTAAGTGACAACCCACATTCACATCACACAAGTTGCAGGCAGTGACCATCTCCAACTCCTGTTAGGGAATCCAACCATTGTCCCACCATGTTCAATGGCATTACCATCTCTGAACTTCCCCCCCTACCAACATCCTGGAATTTACAGTTGACCAAAAACTGAACTAGAACACCCATATAAATTGTGTGGTTACAACAACAAGGCAAAAGCCAGGAATTCTGCATTGATTAACTCACCTCCTGCATCCCCAGTGCTTGACCACCTTCTACAAGAAGTGTGGTATAGTACACTCCACTTATTTTTCACAGTGCTCAGCAGAAGTATATTCCAGTGATAAGGAAGAACTGTAGGAAAAGAGAGAGCCAGCCAGATGAGAGCCAGATGTCTAAGGAAATAAAGGAAAGTATCAGATTGAAAAAAAACACATACAGAAAAGCAAAGAGTAGTGGGAAACTAGTAGACTGGCAAATCTTTAAAGGCCAACAGAAAGCCACAAGAAAAGTTATAAAGAAAAGTAAGATAGATTATGAGAGTAAACTAGCTCAGAATATAAAAACAGGCAGCAAAAGTTTCTATAAATATGTAAATCATAAAAGAGTGGCGAAGGTAAACATTGGTCCTTTAGAGGATGAGAAGGCCAATTTAATAACTGGGAATGAGGAAATAGCCGAGACATTAAACAGTTATTTTGTGTCGGTCTTCACAGTGGAAGACACAAATAACATGCCGAAAACTAATAGCAAGAAGGTTATAGCAAGCGAGGACGTAGAAACTATCATTGTCACTAAGGAGGCAGTGCTGGGCAAGCTATTGGGGCTAAAGGTAGACAAGTCTCCTGGCCCTGATGAAATGCATCCCAGGTACTAAAAGAGGTGATGGGGGAAATAGCAAATGCACTAGTAATTATTTACCAAAATTCACTGGACTCTGGGGTGGTTCCCGCAGATTGGAAAACAGTCAATGTGACGCCACTGTTTAAAAAAGGAAGTAGACAAAAAGCAGGTAACTATAGGCCAGTTAGCTTAACTTCGGTAGTGGGGAAAATGCTTGAATCTATCATTAAGGAAGAAATAGCAAGACATCTGGATATAAATTGTTCCATTGGAAATACCCAGCATGTGTTCATGAAGGGTAGGTCATGTTTAACTAATTTGGTGGAATTCTTTGAGGACATTACTTGCATGGTGGACAACAGGGAACCTGTGGATGTGGTGTATCTGGATTTCCAGAAGGCATTTGACAAGGTGCCACACCAAAGGCTGCTACATAAGATAAAGTTCCACGGTATCACAGGTAATGTATTGGCATGGATAGAGGATTGGTTGCCAGTAGAAAGCAAAGAGTAGGGGTAAATGGGTGTTTTTTTGGTTGGCGGTCAGTGGCTAGTGGTATGCCTCAGGGATCAGTGTTGGGATCTAAATTGTTTACAATTTACATAGATGATGTGGAGTTGGGGACTAAGTGTGGTGTGTCAAAATTTGCAGATGTCACTAAGGTGAGTGGTAGAGCAAAGTGTGCAGAAGACACTCAAAGCCTGCAGAGGGATATAGATAGTCTAAGTGAATGGGCAAAGGTCTGGCAGATGGAGTACAATGTTGATAAGTGTGAGGTCATCCATTTTGGTAGGAATAACAGGAAAATAGACTATGTTTTAAATGGTAAAAAATTGCAGCACGCTGCTGCGCAGAGGGACTTGGGTGTCCTTGTGCATGAATCGCTAAAAGTAGGATTGCAGGTGCAGCAGGTAATTAAAAAGGCAAATGGAATTTTGTCTGCCATTGCTCGAGGGATGGAGTTTAAAAACAGGGAGGCTATGCTGCAGCTGTATAGAGTCCTGGTGAGGCCACACCTGGAGTACTGTGTGCAGTTTTGGTCTCCTTACTTGAGAAGAGATATACTAGCACTGGAGGGGGCGCAGAGGAGATTCACTCGGTTGATTCCAGCGTTGAGAGGGTTGGATTATGAGGAGAGACTGAGTAGACTGGGATTATACTCATTGGAATTCAGAAGAATGAGGGGAGATCTTATAGAAACATATAAGATTATGAAGGGAATAGATAAGGTGGAGGCAGGGAGGTTGTTTCCACAAGCAGGTGAAACTAGGACTAGAGGGCATCGCCTCAAAATAAAGGGAAGCAGATGTAGGGCTGAGGTCAGGAGGACCTTCTTCACCCAAAGGGTTGTGAATCTGTGGAATTCCCTGCCCAGTGAAGCGGTTGAAGCTACCTCGCTGAATGTTTTTAAGGCAAGGCTAGATAAATTTTTGAACAGTAAAGGAATTAAGGGTTATGGTGAGTGGGTGGGTAAGTGGAGCTGAGTCTCAAAGATCAGCCATGATCTTATTAAATGGCGGGGCAGGCTCAAGGGGCCAGATGGCCTACTCCTGCTCCTCGTTCTTATGTTCTTACCTAGAGCAGAGCAGCTCAAATAATTTTAAAGAGTTCAACATCATCCAGGACAAAGCATCCCCTTGATCAGTACCACACCCACCACCATCAACATTCACTCCCTTCACTGCTGATGTACAGTAGCAGCAGGTGTATCATCTATGAGATGCACTGCAACAACTCACCAAGGCTCACAGCACCTTCCAAACGTAATCCCACATAGAAGAACAAGATGCATAGAAACACCACAATCTGTAAGTTTTCTTCCAAAGCACTCACCATCCTGACTTGGAACTATATTGCCTTTTCTTCATTGTTGCTGGGTCAATATTCTGGAATTCTCCTCCACAATACACTGAGAATGCCCCTACACCCAATGATTGCAGCATTTAAAGAAAGGAGTTCGCCACCACAGGGTTGTGAGTCATTAGAACTTCTTGTCACCCGGAGACCTATGGGGGCAGACTCCTTGTGTATATTTAAGGCTGAGCTAGATAGATTCCTGATCATTAGGGGAATTGAAGGTTATGGAGAAATCACAGGAAAGTGAGCTGAGGAATGTCGAATCAGCCGTAATCCTATTGAATGGCAAAGCTGGGTCAAGGGCCTGAACAGCCTAATCCTGTTCCAATTTTTATGGTCATATGGTCTTACTACCACCTTCTCTGGGACAATTAAAGATGTGCAATAAATGCTGGCTTATCCGACGACGCTCATCTTATGAACAATTTTTTAAAAAGCTGTAAAAGGCATAGAAAGATGAACATATGCAATCAATATCAAAATATTCTCCTTCTTCATATAAAGTAGAGCTGGCATTATTAATACACACTTTTTATTCATTCCAAAGCACAATATTCATTTTCAAAAATTACTTGTTAAGGAGTGGTGGTGTGCATGGCCTCAGATATTAAAAAATCTTCCACGATTTGGATGATGCCAGTGAAAGCACATACCAGTGGTGGGTCCCCAGCTGTAAAAAGAATAGACTTACAGTTTTCCATAGATGTTAATCTACATGATGGGAAAAGTGAGGTTTCACCATAGTGGAGATCTGCATCTTGCATTGAATTACAGAGAATGTCACAGCTTTTTGGCCCAAATGGTTTATTGCAAAGTTTCTGCTTTATATGAGCCACCTCTCATCTAATTTTATTTTATTAATAACATATTCGTTAATTCTTTTCTCTCTCAAGTACCTTAAATACAACTTGAATATGGCTGAAAAAAGATATATTTTGTTGAAGCTTTTCGTCTTGCATCAGAAGAAAATGCTGATTGGTTGGCAAGTGGACACTAATTAATAGAGGCATTGTTATAGAAAATGCACCAGTTAATTATAAATGACAGTTAACTGCTATTCTTGTATACAAATTTTAAATCACACAGCTTGACTCTCAAGTTGATCACATACCATATAGATGTTTTCTCTTAATTTGGATGTTAATGCTGGTCGTAGCCTTTATTACACTTTAGACCAGGTTGCAAAATGGTTTGATTCAGTATCAGGAGCAGAAGGTGTGTTTAAGTGCACCAGTCTTTCTGAAAGATTCATCAATAGGTGTTCATAGAATCTGTGAGAATAGAATTTAATAGAATATATGATTAAATATTTTTGTTATAAGGTTTTGAATTGATACTCACTTATTTTATTGAAGTGATTATTCCCAAGACTAAGATGTGCCAGCAGCTTCCTGTTCACTGATTTAGATCCCTCCATTCCACACTGATACTACAGCTGAAATCAGGATTGTTTTAATATGGCAACTAGTGGATTCGAAATTGGTTCCACATATTTTTGGCAAATGCTACTATAGATGTTCACAAGGCGGAAATATGATAGTCCTGTGATTCTGCCAACAATGTCTCCATCTTCATGATTTCTCATCATGAAGAAAATAGTGGCCTCAGTCTCATACAACCTCCCTAAATTTAGAGTTTTCTCAGAGGGGATAAGTTAAATAAGCCATTTAATTTTGTCATCTCAAATATATGACCCCAGGGACAGGCTGTACACAGGTCCCTTCACAATATTTTATAACATGTCATTGTTACATGGATCCAATTCCATTTGTTGTGCAAAAATACATCTTGGACGTAGTCATTTTGCATTTGAGTAAAATGCAATTTCTACTGAGTTCTCTGCAGCCAGAAATCTCTCAGGTGTTGCCATTCACTTGGCATTTTCTTGACTGTCCTGACCCATCATTTCTCTGTGTTGTACCAACAGCTGCCCACCAACACTTCCAATTACTATCAACATAGCTATTGTCTGCTCTGTTAGCTTGTTCAATCAGTGACATTATTAATTTGATAAACCATCATGAGTGCCTTTGTGAAGAATTGGCTATTTTCAATGTTAATATCTAACTGTTGTACATTGCTTAAATCAAAATAGCTCTTTGTTTTCTTCTGCTTAGGAAACAAATGTTCTGGGTTTCAAAGGACCTCGGAAAATGAGTGTAATCATTCCTGGCATGAACATGGATCATGAAAGAGTGTCCATCCGGCCTCGCAATGTAAGTTACAAAACATCAACAGCCTCAATCATGCAAGACCTCTCACAAAAGGAGGTAGTACGGTTAAGGCCAGTGAGAGAAATAAGGGGCCTGGTGCTTCTCCTGCTTCTCGGCTCCTAATTTGCCTCTTTCCCAAATGTTCCCACTCACATTGTTCAGGTTCCCAGAATTGGGAAACATATTCATAGTGATGTTGGATTGTTTTAGCAAACTGTCTTAGCTTTTGTACTGTATGCCTCTACTTATTAAGCCCATCAAAAGCTCAGGTTTCAGTATGGTACACTTTACAACCACTGCTCTGTCAGATTATTACACACAACATGGTCATTCATTTAATGCAGCCCGATAGCTCTGTTGAAATTGGCTCTACTCAATATGCAGACAGCAATATCCAAAATAATTAAGCCTTACAAACGCTACAATGCACAATCCTGTGCACAAATGAGAAGATCCTGAACTGTCAGTGATATTTTCTATTGTCACATGACTCTTCATTTCACTTCCAAGTTTTAAAAGTGGCATAACTTTCTAGTAACTTATCACCAACATATTTACCTGCAATATTGCGTTATTGCTCTCCACAAAAGTGTGCTTTGTTAACAGAAAAATGATACATTGCATTGAGTGATAAATATTTTCTCATATTAAATTGAAATGAACTACACATATCCAGCATAGAGCGCACAGTAAGAGAAAAATGTATTGGAAATCTTAGAAATCAAAGATATAAACAGAAACTGTTAGAAATACTCAGCAGGCCAGGCAGCATTTGTGGAGAGAGAAACAAAGTGATTACTTCAGATCCACCAGAGCATCAGTGTGGAGTTTTGCAGAGTTACATGGGGCTGCCCTTGTATGACTGAAACCTTTGTTTACCAGGGGTGTCTGTCTATCACTTAACGGTAAAGGGGCTGAACTGTACTGATTGACTCCTAAAACCAAGCAATGTAGCTTTCCAGGGGTGATGTTTACTGCCGGAGGATAACAGTGAAGGAGTGTCTAGCATTCTTTGCACTGATACATATGTAAGCATCTAAAGTAATCAATGCCCCCTCAAGGTATTCTCCAAGGAAAATATGGACAGTCAGAAGTCTTAACACATTGAAATAGACCAAAGGAATTCAGTAAAAGAGCTGTATTCATTTCAAGTGTCGTGTTCCACAAAAGGTGAAGGTTGAGAAGCCTTATGTCAAGCATTTCCCACCCTCAGCTCCCTCACCTCCCTACCAACGACTGGGTACATTCCCGTTTATTGTCTATGGTCTCCTCTTGCAGAAGGAGATAAGCTTTAAGGGTAATTGGAATGGGTTCATGAGCACTTTGTCTGCATTGACAGATACAGTTAGTATTGTGAATCCCCAGAGCTGCCATTGTCCTTATGGTTTGGGCGAAGTTAGGAATTGAAGGATTCTGATCAGAACATGTTTCAGTGCTGTAAAAGAGCTTGTGTTGAAGGAAATCAATAAGGCTGTATATGATGGATGTGACTGATATTCCTGTTTGGTATTCACCCCAAAGAAACCTACTGTGGTCGTGACTTTGTCTCATGCAAGGCTTTGGTAAAAAAAGCTGTCAGATGTATAGGTTCTTTTAGTAATAATTAAAGATCAGTGATGCTGGTACATCAGCTGCTGAATGTTGTAGCTCCTTTCACAACTTAAGTGTGAATTCTGATAGATATGTGAGCTGTTAGCTCAGTTGGCTGGACAGCTGGTATATGATCCACAGTGATGCCAATAGCATGAGTTCAAATAATGCACTGACTGGGGTTATGATGAAAGACTCTATCTCAACCTCTCCCCTTACCTGAGGCATGGTGACCCTCAGGTTAAACCATCATCAGTCATCTCTGTGTAATGAGAGACCCGCCATATGATCCGATAGGGCTATGCTGACTTTACCTAATAAGTGTGTGAGAGGTATTGTCACTGGAGTGCAAGTAGATCAACATTGGTGCCTGGCAAATACTGATTGCACATAAATCATCTGATGGAAGTGGCTGACACTCAGCCTTGTGTGTTACAGTCCTCTGCAGTTGCAAACGTACAGGGTAACTCATACCCTTATGGGCGTGAAGCATTGAGTGGCAATGGTACATACTGTTCAGTGCACACAAGAATATGTATCCTTTTGCAGCACTGGATCCAATCTGTTTTGATGCTCCTATGGGTATGACTACCACTGTCACCTTCGACCAAGCTGTGTCATCTCTTCTAACTCAGATGACTTGCAGGAAAACATCTCAAAGGGCATTACTAAAATGTGGATCTAACTTTTGGTGGGTTTCCAACATCTCCAGGGGTGGTTTGGGGGGTATGTGCAGAAGTTGAGTGACACGCTTGGTTACAGAGAGTGAAATGTTGTCTGGGAGGTTTTTAAGTATGGTGCTTCGAAGTTCAGAAAGTGTCGGTGGGTGTGCAGAACTTCCTGTCTGCCCATAACATTTGCCATTTTACCCAGGCTTGAACATGTATCGATCTGAGAAGAGCAGTATTGCACAGGAAAATCTGCCACGTTCCTGTGTGGAAGTCCCTTCTGTTCTTGTGCCGTCACTTAGTTTCAAATAGAGAGTATTTTACTCAGGATCACCAATACCATACAGGCTGCAGTGACACAATAACCTCTTCCTGGTCTGTTATTTCTCTCATTCTGTAAAAACTTTCCTTTATCCAGTTGAAGCTCTAAGACTGGTTTGGGAAGTGTTAATGCTGCGCTGACTTTACAATGGTGTGCCTGTGAAAAGTACCTCAAATGCTGAGCCTACTATCCTTTGTACAATCTCACTATTTGGTTTATTGGTCTGTATAACCTGATTTTAACGTGCAAAATCTTATTGCGGATCAGCTCAGGCAGAACCCAATTCTGAGGGGATTCAGGAGAATGGGATCTTGACCATACTTTCGAGAGAAAATTGGTTACACGATCAGCTGTCAGGTGATCAAGCCTCAGGAGAACCTTCCTCCAGAGTTGACACTCCTACCAGCAGCATGTGTGCATCATTTTGTTCCGAAAGTTATTAATTTACCAACTTGGATACTCAGTGCTTTCATGATCATTTTAATAAAGGCATAAGTGAAGTCATAGGTGAATATTAGCTGGAAGATGTAATTGTCTCTATAACGAGATCTATACAAAATTAACATGTGCAGCCAAACTACTTGATTTTTCTCTTGCCAGACACAAAGATGCTGCCCATTTCAAGCACGTTATATCAGCAAGCTGTTACTATTAGTATTCCAAAGAAGAAATTCTAGGCTAATTGTGTTCATTAATTTCTTATTTAGCCTGAGGGAAACATTTCTTTTAATTAGTCCATTAGGTCCATTGGACTATTCACTGAAGTGGAGATTGTGCTAATCGGGCTAAGTGCAGACTATCTCCTGGATTTGTTCCTGTTTTGTTATTCGCACTGAAGTTACTTACATGAAGTCATCATAAAAAAGAATTGCTGCTGCTTACTTAATCAGCTAATTTGCTTGGTTTTGAATTAATTCTTTGAAGAATGCAATGTGATTTAACGGAGAAGCTGGCTTCATCACCGATTAGTCAGCAAAATCAATCAATGTCCTGACACTTACCAACTATTTTTTAAACTTGAAAGTTGGTGACACAACAAAAGACTGCTGTTAATTTATTAACCTTGACCAATTATTCAGCTAACCAGTAAGGTAACTTGTCAAATCTGCTGTAATCAATTCTAGCTAATGGGCTAAAGAAAAACTTAAAGAACTGCAGATGCTGGATCTTTCTGAAGAAGCCAAAACATTAGCGCTGCTTTCTCTCCACAGATGCTGCCAGACCTGCTGAGTTTCTTCAGCAATTTCTGTTTTTGTTCTAGTTAATAGGCTTTATGAATCTGTGCAGACAATAGAGTCTAAGTCTGGAACTAGTGAGCACTCCAAGATTTAAGTTGAGTCAAATTGATTTAGCAAAGCAAGTGACAGCATAGATTTCCTGTAAATAAGACAAGTACCTATATTCCAGGCTATTCTTAGCAGATAAACTTTCAACTTGTTTATTGCTTATGTATTTTTTTCTCTAGTCATCTTTAATTTCTGATGCTGGTTACTGGGTAAATAAACCAGGCATTCAGAGCTTGATGTGATCGCAATCCTGTCTAATTTAGATAAAGAGTGGAATTTCACTGAGCCCATGATGATGGGCTTGGAAGTCAGGGGTTGTAAGAAGAAAAATCCTTCAAGCACTGAATTGAAATCGATTCATAAAATCTACTCACTGCTTGTCAAATTTCCCAGGGGTGAGGGGGTAGTCGGTTTTTTTTTGACTTATTTCCATACACTCCACTGAGGATCAGTGACTCATTGGTTAAAAAAGGCAAGAGCACAGTGTTGGTTGAAACTAACAAGAATGGATTTCAGCTGATTTTTCAAAGAGGGCGAAGGTCTGGTTAGAGAATCAAAAGTTGGGACCTTTACAGGGTTTGCAGTGTGCAAGCCCCATAATGAAGGGCTGTTTTGGAAGGGTGTTGCAGGGAGGAATTTATGGGATCTTTCAGTCAGTGGTCTTTAGTAAGATCAAGCAGGTGACAAAAGCTCTGTTCCAGACAGCATGGCAATACATTAGGATTTGCAGTGTTTGGAGTAGTTAGGCTGAGAGGAAATTGGATTTAGTACCATGGCAGCATTCCCTCAGGCTCAGTGGGTGATACACTCTGTGTGCGTGGCCACCAAGGCTCCCTAGAAGCAATCAGGCATGTTAGTGTTCTCTCAAATTTCACATCCATATGTTCTGATATAGTCTTCAGAGATATTGGTTCTCTAGCATCTCTACAAACTTAAGCCTTTGGTTGTATTCCCTGGGTTGAACATTCTTGAATATTAGTCTATCTTCTGCCCCCTATGCACCACTTTTTCCATGTTCCATTGCAGTATTATGCTTGCTGCTGTTCCTTTCCATGTAATTAATACAATTTGTCTTACCCAATCTCCTCCACATTGGGGGAATCCAGCTCTGAGAGCAGATTGCCCATTTACGTTGACACAATGGCTCCAGCTGACCCTTGTGTTGCCTGTACAGGTTGCAGGGGACCTAGGGAATACCCTCCCACAACAGCCTTTCACTATTGGGCTTACACACTGCAATCCCTGTAAAGTTCCCAGCCTTTGATTCTCCACAGAAATTGACTGCATTCACACCAAATAAACCCTCCAGGCATGTACTAGCTTTTCAGAAAGCTGCCATGACCTGCACATCCTCAGTATATCGTAAGAATATAAGAAGTAGTAGCAGGAGTAGCAATGACCATATTCGATGGATTAACATAAGTAAAATTACATGGTGGCAACAGTCTTTCTTTCTGCCTCATGTTAGACCTTCAAAGAGCGTCAGCAACAGTGTCTTCAGTGGATACCCCTTGTGACCCAGGATCCATCCATTAATTTAGTTGGATAGACTACAGAGTTGAGAGTTAAAGAGGAGGTAGATAGATTTTTGAAATTTCAGAGACCTGACAGCTATGCTAAAGTTGCATGAAAGAGGAATTGAAGCCAAATAGATCAGCCATGATTTTGTTAAATGGCGAGGCAGGCTTGAGGTGCCAAATGTCTTTGCAAAACATGTGAGCTCATAATGCACTGACAGAAATGCCCTGTTGTCTTATGCTGTTTGGACTGTGCCACTTTAAATGTCAATCATTGTGGAGGCCAACAATAAATGCCATTTCACTGTTCTCAATGCAACAAGCACCTGTCTCAATATGGTCTTCCCATATGAGGCGTCTGTGTGGCTCCAGTTATACATTAAACCTTGGACATTACCTCTGTGTAGGTTGGTCACCTCAATTCACATCTCAAAAGAGCTGCAATTCAGCCACATTGCCATGATGCATGCTACTCACCTTGTCAGACCTGACAGGTTATTTGTATGGCTTCCGACACATATTTTTGCAACTGCTGATAACTTTAGGCATCTCCAGCCATGTCTTCTTCTTCAGGCTTGCTGGCTTCTTCCTCCCATTCCTCCTACCCTGAAGGATCACCTCCTTGGAGACGACACTGAAACAAGAATTCACCCTTCCTCTTGCTTCAGCCATTTACTGGTTCCCATCTGCTGCACCCCTTTCTATGCCATCCATGTGCGCAGCCTGTATAGCTGCTGGCATCCTGCTAGCCACCCTTTCTTGGCCAAGGTCAACACTAGATGAGTACTATTTGGCTGATTATTGGAAGATCACAGTGGAAGTCCTGTCACTTGCCCAAATAACCTGCAAATGTTTCCCTGACTTGGGTCATCAACTCATTTGAGCCACCCCAAAATATTATGAGGAAATGCTAGCTTTCAATTTCCCTAAGAGGACTATTTTGGAAAGGGAGTGGGATACGTAGCAACAAGTTGTTACCTTGCTCAGACCTTAGTTCCAAAGTAATGTGAAATTTGTTCCCTTGTCAAAGACAGTCATGAATCTACATCATCTTGCAGAAATTTTTGAATAAATGTTATTTTCTCTTTGTGATAAAGGAACATGAAACTTTGCTGGCAGGATGGCAGAACAAAAACACAGAGAGTGTAATTGAGCTACACAACAAAACTCCAGTATGGAACGATGACACTCAATCCTACGTCCTTAATTTCCACGGCCGAGTTACACAGGCTTCTGTGAAGAATTTCCAAATTATTCATGACAATGACCGTAAGTAGTAAACTCATAGCTGGACAAAAAGTTCTAGAAACAATTAAAATGAATGACAACATATGTGACCGTGATACCAGGTAGCACATGGGAATCTATACTCCAGCATGATGAATTAAAACTTTACTTTTAACGGTAATCTCAAAAAACAATTTTCTTATTATGTTGACCATTTTGATTCCGCAAAACATGTTATTCTCAATTTTCTGGGCAACTCTAAAATTTCTTTAACTGCACAGGCTGCTGCTTCAAGCTAAGTGTCGATCATATGGCATGATTATGCAAAATATGAATTGAACCCAAGAATGGCAAAACATACAAAATTAAATAGCTTTTAAATTGTTACTGCATATCAAATTAAATTCAGATTCATTTGAATACAGTTCTAGCATAAATTTTCAATTTCATAATTTGGAATAAACAATTCTATTAGTAATATATTTGGAAAAAGTAACTGACACTTTCAACACACTGTTGCCAAAAGTTTGGTGAGAGTCCATAGAATGAAATAGGTTAGGTCTTGGCCTTACAGTGACATTTCTAGCCTGCTTTTGACGTAGTAGAGTTTGAGGGGTTGTGCCTGGAGCAGGACTGAGAATCTTCATGGGGATAAAATGACACCGAGTTTACCAAAGGGTTCTTAGAGGGCCCTGGGCAACCCCCACCCCAGCCCTGCACTCTTTGATCATATTTTATACCCATTGGGGTATGAGGGTGTGCAAGTATCCTTCATTACAGCACCAAAGTGTCAGGCTAAGGTGTGTACTCCAGTCCTTGAAGGGGACTTGAACTTATAACCTTCTTGTGCTGAGGTATGTATCTCATGAACAAAAACAAAGTTGCTGGAAAAGCTCAGCAGGTCTGGCAGCATCTGTGGAGGAGAAAACAGAATTAACATTTCGGGTCCGGTGACCGTTCCTCAGAACTGTATCTCATGAGCCAAGGCTCTCACATTGGCAAACATTTAGAATAAAGGACTAATGTTGCTAAATACTCTAATAGAATACATTTTAAGAGATTAAACAGCCTCTCCTTTCACAGTCCAATTATTAAACTATGTCAGAGGTAATTTTGAATGCATTTCCGCTTGTTTTTAGCTGTAATGTGCACCATTGTCAACATTTCTCATTTCATTCAACAGGATGTATCCTTAATTAATTGAAGCTCTCAGTGCTATTAACAGCCCTATAATTCAGCTCCCAGAAACAACTTTTTTTGAACTCACTCATGGGACATGGGCATCCCTGGCTTGGCCAGCATTTACCGCCCATCCCTAATGGCTCATAGTCCAGTTAAGAGTGAATCACATTGCTGTGGGTCTAGAGTCACATGCAGGCCAGACCAGGTAAGCATGGCATATTTTCTTCCCTGAAGGGCATTAGTGAACCAGGTAGGTGTTTCCAGCAATCAACAATGATCATCATTAAACCTTTAATTCCAGATTTTTTTTTATATAGAATTCAAATTCAATCATTTGCTATGGTGGGATTTGAACCCAGGTGTTCAGATCATGAGCTGAGTTTCTGGATTAATAGTCTAGTGATGACACCGCCAGACCATTCCCTCCCCACATCTGCCCACATGTTGTACCACACATTTGATAGTAATTACCTACTTCTATCAGAAAGAGACTAACAGATATATTTTTCCGATCATTCCTCTATGAGTCAAAAATCATCAGTGAAAATGGAAAATTAATTCTCTAGCATATAACATCACCAACATTTTTGCTAATATTAATCATTGTACCAAAATAAATGGCTGCCAATGGGTATTCACTGTCATTGGTGAAAAACCAGAACTATTTTTATATTTCATTGCAGTAATATTGCAACAACCAGCTTGTTAACCATGTGGGGTGGGCAAGGGAAGGAATTTGACAGCTCCACAATGGGCATTAAGCAAGGTGGGTTGTGGGTTCATTACAATCCTGGCTGTTGAAAGAGTGCGAATAGGAAAGGACTGTGACCAGATCGCATGAAGATTTGTATGGGGCCAAAAGCAGCCTCTCAGCAGAGCCTTTTAGAACAATTGTTTTGGCTGGTTAATGCTGAGTTTCACAGAACAGAGCATACACTCTGACAACTGGCTGTCTTATGTTTGCGATCATCTGCCACTCTATTCACGTTGAAAAGTGGGGCAATCGATGAACGTTGGCTCCAGTATATTTATAATTTTCATCACTGCATCAATCAGAGAAACTCTTCGAAATGCACTTACAGCATAAATCAGGACAATTGCTTCATCCAAGTCACTAGTGTGTTGGTTCCAGTACATGTTACAATTGCTTTGTTGTTCGGATCTCATGCTGCTTCAGTAATGGAAAAAGCTGGATACAGCACTATTCTGCAAATCGGTGGTGGAGAGGGTTTGAGAGCCATTGCCAGATAAAGATATTGTTAATGCACAAATAGCTTTCTTGTGTACAAATCCATTTCCATTCTATTTATTATAAGGAATTCATGTTTCACATGTTTTCATTTTTAACATAATCCTGATAGGAACAGATTATTTCCAAATATTTTCAAGTTGTAGTTCTTTACACACTCTGCAGAGCCGCACTACATTAAATAATCAGCGTGCTTTCCAGATATTATTCAGTATTCTTTTGTGATGATCAAAACTGATCAAGGTAAACACTATCCATCTCTAGATGGAACAGAATTCAAACTAAATTAAAACACATCAACCAGAGGGAATGGTATAGATTTTGACAACTACCGAGTGATTTGGGTTTGTAAGCTATTGAAGATTTCATAAACTGCTATGGCTTTTCCTGCATGGTACAGATTGCCATTTCAACTCTGTGATTAGATTACAGTCTTGTAACTTTGCCAGCTATCCATCATTTCCTGTAAGCTTGCTCTCAGCTGAGTTGTACAATGGTGGGTAGAGGGCAGCAGAACAGATGTGAAGTAATGGTGGAATTTCATTCTGTAAATTGAATGAAATTTTATGTAAAACAATCAACTGTTTGTTTGTATTTTTTATAGCGGATTATATAGTGATGCAGTTTGGCCGTGTGGCTGAAGACATCTTTACCATGGACTACAACTACCCAATGTGTGCATTGCAAGCATTTGCGATTGCTCTCTCAAGCTTCGATAGTAAACTAGCTTGTGAATAATTGGAACAATGGAAGTGTCATACCGAAGGAGCAACATGTGTTTGAAGGACAAGCTTGCTTTTTTTGCTTTGACATATTGGTTGCAGATCATAAGACATAATTCATCGCACATTTTGTTGTAAGTTTACAGGATGATTAAAATCGCATCAGGGTTCTAAATCCAGTGTAGGACCCATTTTAAATATTTTAATGAGGCTTGTGCCTGTTTTGTTTTTTTTTTAAAACGGGCATAGTTCTTTGCATGGTCCGTAAGGCATCACTGTCGCGGTAATTTTGTGTGGACCTTTGGAACGAAATGTTGTCCTAAAATGAAAATAAAGGAAAAAAGAACTTTTATTCTGAAAATGGCAGCTATAGAGTCCCATGGGTATTGAATTAGAACATGAGAGAGATTTTCTCACATTAACCTTTAAAGTACTAACCTTTGTGTCATTTCTTGTACATAATCAGATTGTTCTTTTCAGTTTGGTCAGAAGGTACTTTCAACAAATGTCATTGTGCTTGTTCTGCCAGTACCCTATGCAGCATGGTAATAATTAAACTAATGCTGCTGATATTTGACCATACAATGCAACTTGTAAGAGAAATTTATTGTTTCAGGTGGTACAGTGCGTTTGACCATTAGGATACAGTTTATAAAACAAATAGTTAATATTATTACAATGATTATTCATTCATTCTTTTTGTTTTACTTTTACATGGAATATTGTCCAAATATTGACATCATCGAGAATGAGAAGATGCCCTCCTTATGTTGGGATTGAGTCATATTACTGAGGCAATGTAGGCAGAGTTTGCATAGAAATGCATTTCCTTGTATGCACCTGAATGCCTGTTAATGCCACTGTGGGTAGGATTTTAGTTCTTGTGTCTCAATTGCACTGTTGGAAAGAAATATGGGTTGCAAACCCACAAATGTGGTAGGACTCAAAGGAAAATTTTGAAAGAGGAGGCTAAATATGTGGCTACTTCTGGGACCCCTGGCCAATTAAGGATAGCAAGCAGGTTCTTGATTGTGGAGGCCATCCAGCATTGAAGAGCAGCAGCACCAGTGGGAACTGCTGATGTATGTATGTGCATTGGAGTTGTGAAGGTGGGGGAGGATTTGAAATGCTACCTTGTGAAGTGTTTCCATTGTTTAATAATATGTAATGGTGATATCTGCCAAACTGTCATTGTGGAGGACAGTCATGGACACAGTGGGCAAGGATTAAATTGCATGAACCATCAATAGTCTCGGGTCTGCCTTCAGGAGACCACCTCCATTCACCAGCCTGGATTTTCATCTGTGGTCTCATTAATTGGCATAATTGCCTACTTACAAGTGGCAGGCAGCCTCCTTCCAAATAGCTTGGAGGCATAACCTTTGCCGGCACACTGGTAGTGGACCTTGTAAGCACCCAGGAGTTTAGTCCCGTCTCCACACCTTCGAGAAAGTTTACTTATGAGCATTAAACTTAGAAGTGTCCTATTTCCTACCATGGAACCCACAATGGGCTAATGAACACAACAAAAGTAAGCATCAATAAGGTATAAGATAACAAAAAAAGAAAAGAATGTTAAACAGAATAATATTTAATTTAAAAAAAAAGTTCTAGATTAGAAAGAATTACAAAGTAAGATCTCATTTATAAATCATGCTTTATAAAGGACCAATGCTTCAATCAGGTAAAGGTAAAAGTGGGTGGATAAAGACTGGTGATATTTTCCACAAGTTCCCATTTGTGTACAGGTAAATATGAAGCTGAAATCTTGTGTAAGAGAGAAATGGATATTAATACATGTTTTTGGTTAGTAGTTAAAATGTAGAATTTGCAACCACAGGAGCAATTGAAGTGAGCTGTGTAGAGGCATTGAAGTGAACTAGATAATTATATCATGTGGAAAAGTACAGGAGGTTAAGCTGATAGTGTTAGGTGAAGGTGGGTGGGACAAGTCTCATGCTGAGCAAAAATACTGGCATGGACCATTTGTGCCAAATGACCTGTTCCTGTGTTGTGCATTCTATAACATTCTATGTTTTATTAGCTCTGGCTCCATGAATACCATTACATTTCACTGTACGCTTATAGTAGTTTATTTTTCTCAAGTAGAAGTCAAAACTCTTAAGGATCATCATAATGCCTGGGAATCACCTGAGCTCCACTTATCTTCTGTTCCCATGTTATTAATAAATGAGTTCTACTTGCAAATAATTCTAAACTATTGTACCGAGGTCAAAGATTGGATTTTCTCTGACCAGAACAAATCTGTGTGAAGGAGATTTTTTTATCAAAATAGAATTCAGTAGATATTGTTCATATAAGCATTTGGAACCTCTGCACTTGTCTATCACCTTTTGAATTGAACATTGCTGTGTATGATTTGTTGTTTTTAAGAGAAGGACAGAATGTTCTTGCATGTAAACAGGTCCTTGTGGGTGGACAGAAATCCATTATTATATTAATTACTATTCCCTTAAAAGCATCCAGCTATTTTTACATTGAACTTGGAAACTGAGTGAGACCATTAGCATAAAAAAGAAGAAAGATTTGCATTTATATTGCACCACAAATAACTGTAGGACATTCCAAAGTGCTTTGCTGCCAATAGAATACTTTTGAAGTGAAATCATTATTGGTAATGTAGGAGTTGCAGCAGCCAATTTCTGCACAGTAAGCTACACAAAGAGCAATTTGATAATGACCAAATAATCAATTTTGAGATGTCACATGAGGGATAACTATTAACCAAAACACTGGGGATATCACCTCTGCTCATCTTCAAAATAGTACCATTGGGGACCATGTGCATCCACCTAATGGGACAGATGGGGTCTTGGTTTTAACACCTTCTCTGAAAGATGGCAGCTTCAATAATGCAGCACTAAACTGAAGTGTCAGACTTGACTATTGTGTTCATGTCCTGAAGTGGGATTTGAACTCAAAAACTTTGGACCCAGAGGTGAGAGATCAACCAAATGAGCCATACCTTGCATGTCATGAAGCTGCAATCATGATAATAAATTGGCTTTGGCTTTATCTCAGGGTCACAGGCCAAAAAGAATCTTTCCAAAATTAGGAAACTAAATGTTGAACTATGGCTGTGCATTTTATTGTGCAAAGCTGATGTGTACATAACGAATTTCTTTATATGTAGCATTAAACCATGAAATTACAACTGCACCTAACAAAACAATGAATAAAACCATTTGAAGCAATCATGTTGAATAATGCATCAATAATACACTGCATATTTTCTCGGCTAAAATCTTGTGACCATGAATAAGTAAAAGGTTTAAATTCGCCATTAAAATGAACACCCTGGAGGTCATGACATTCCATCTATTAGTAAATATATATGTCACCACATACGACTGGGTGAAATAAAGCAGATCTCATTTGAGTCAACCTGTGTTAGAGTCAATATCATTACAAGAAAATAACATGGCTGGATGACATGAGTATGGTTATTTATGTTATCTGATTTTTCTGGCATCACATATGAACATAAGAAAGCAGGAGTAGGTTGTACTGTCCCTCATGCCTACTCCACCACTGAACAAAATCATGGCTGATCTTCATACTCAACTCCATATCCCAATATCTCTTCTCTTAAAATCCAAATTCTATTGATCTCGAGCATACTCAGCAACTAAGTATCCACAGCTTTCTGGGGTACAGAATTTTAAAGATTCACTACCCATTGAGTGAAGAATTTTTTTGTCATCTGTAACCCCTTCTGAAACAATGCTCCTAACTCTGGGCTTTAGAGACAGGGGAAGAGCCTCAGCATATATTCTGTTAAGGGCTGTCAGAATCTTACAGGTTTTACTGAGATTATCTATCATTCTTCTAAACTCCTGTATCATTGTGCTGAATCTATCCTCATAGGACAAACTTCTCAGACAGGAATAAGCCTAAGGAACTTTTGTTGTAGCTTCTCTGAAGCACATGTACCCTTCCCAGGAACAGCAACCAAACCTATACATGATGCTACAGGTGTAGTCTCACTTTCTCTAGACCATTGATTTTGCACTATTTCTGATTTGTTTGGATATTCCGCTATGAAAGCAGAGACAATGGGTGGAATCTTCTACATTCATTGATAGTGAGGAGGGAGGGGTGGGTGGGGGAGAGATTAGTTAGGATGGTGTTGCATCTAAACACTCTTGCTTTCACACCTCTGGCAGAATTAAGCTCTGAGCAGGAAGCCCTATATTCGATCTGCCCAGGCTGCAGCCGATTTAGACCATAATTGTTGAATTAAGGACTACTTCAAAGTCTTGTCTCACCAATGCTGGGATGAAGCCAGCTACAGACAAGCCTGTTGACATATGATGTGCAGCCAAAACCATGTGGCCAGCTTGTCACTTCCATATAGGGAGAAGCTTTGATCAAAGGAATTCAGTGCCTGATCAAGGGATTGGACTTTGGAAAGGGGGAGGGCAGATGACAGCTATCCCCTGCCTTTTACTGTCGACACTCTTGCACCCTTCTGCCTGGGACCTCACCCTCAGAACCCTCTTCTCCTCCCCCCCCCCACCCCCACCAACATTACTTAAATGTGGCCTTTGTCAATGTGCAACCCTGGGACTCTGGTCCCTGTCCTCTGGCCCATTCAGTGGCACTTCTGAGCACAAGACTTCCACCTTGGATTCTTGTTCACCGGGATAGTCTTGTCGGCAGGCAACGACTGTCTGATTGGTTTGTAACTCTGCAGGCCTTCTTGAAAAGAGGCAGTGCAGGACTCTTGCAATCTGTCCAGCTAGCAGCCAAAACCCCCAATGCCTTAACAACATATTAGGATCATTCTTGCTCAACAGGTTGCTCACTATGAGATTACTAATTGTCTGGTCACAGAAGGTAAGATAGCAAGTAGCCTGTTCCCTTGTTGCTTCCACTATGTATTGTTCTCAAACACTATCTCAAATGCATTCCATAACGTCATCCTCCAAATTACTTTTGTCAATTTGAGATGTCTAGCCTATATAAAGGTTAAGGTCTCCCAAGACTATCCTAAATCATTTGATGCCAGTTCGTCACAATTCTTGATCAACAATTTGTACAACAATACTGATAATGTTCGAACGCTTATAAACTATTCCCACCTCTACTCTCTGTCCCTAGTTACTTCTCATCACCATCATTCTGATGCTACTCCTTGACATTCTGAGCATTTCTTTGGAGTATTCTTGTGTTTTTTTTTATTATTATTGGGCTATCGTCACCACATTTTCTATTTTGTCTTTCTGAAATGCCATGTACTCAGGAATATTTAGCTCCCAAACTTGGTCACCATGCAACC